TCTCTCTCTCTCTCTCTCTCTCTCTCTCTCTCTCTCTCTCTCTCTCTCTCTCTCTCCACCCCCTCCCGGCACCCTTCACCACAAGTCCCCCTGTTCTCCTCTGCTACCTCCTGTTTCCATCGTTTGGGTTTCTCATCATTTGCCTTGGCGGATGGCATGTGGCACTGTGGTGAGGGTGGGCGGGTTCATTGCGGTTTGCGGAAAATTTGATGCAGGTACCTTTATCTGGGTGCAAGCACCATCTGTGTTTATCTTCGAGTTCTTGTCTTCTTCCTAGTCTCCGAATTTCTTAAGTGGACCACGAACAGAGCTGCAAGGAGTCAAGGCGCTTGTTGATCAACATCCGTCATCCAGAACATCCATAAATGATTCCGAGGAGAACTATAGTGGACCAGGTGACGATGAGTAGAGCAAATGGTTTATCAGTTCAAGGAAGGATGGCGACGTATTGGTCGCAGCACAGAGTAGTCCAGTTTTTCAACTGTTTGACAAGTTTTCAAGAACTAGGTAAGTTTTGAACTTTTGAGTAATTACACTTCGGACTTAAACCACCAGTCCATTGGACCCTGTACTAAATATTTTTTTCGTATACGAAGACCGTAGTAAAATCTACAGTGATCAGGCAATGCTTCGGTTCGGACGGAAAGAGTTGGTGGGCCCAGAAAGGTGTCTTGAAATTGAAATCGGGAAAAGAAAGAAGAACGAGAAACTGGGATGGGCTACAGCGTCAGTCCAAACAGTAGTCCATGTACCAGTACAAGATTCTGCAGCTACTGCAGCATCTGCTTCTTCAGGTGGAATGCCAGGTTGTGGAGTTACACAAAATGCAGTTAAAATTTCAGTATCTTTAGTTTTATACTCAGGAGGATAGTAAGTTAATCTGTAATCTTTTACCCCTGCTTTAAATCCAGCACTTGTTTTAGTTTCTGTCTGTGGTGACATAATTTCCTTCCTCCTTATAAGTCGGATTGGTAAGGGAAAGAACAAAAATGGGGGCAAGTACGTTGGAGTCACACCCAACATTGAGAATAGGCCACTTTGGCACTTTTGCAGTTCCCGAAATAGAGCAAAAAAGGTGACCCTAAATCTGCCAGGAGCCACTGGGGGTAATGACTGGTGCAATTTAAAACCCCGCTAAACTTTGGACATTTCGAAACTCACACCGTGACACCGGCGCCGCTTTCTCTTTTCTTGCCTATTTCAAACTAAAAGTGTGTCCCAGCCACAGGTTTTCCCCCAAAAATAAACATCAAAGATTTGGCTGTGAAAACGGCCAGATACATTCTGGAAAGTACTACCGGCAGTGTCAGTATGTCCCCAGTGAGAACCTTTCTTGAGAATGTGGAATACGCCCTGCCTCACTGGCAGGGCACAAAGAAGGAAAGAAAAAAGAAGGGAAATAAAAGACAACAACAAGGATTTGGCCGTAATAGTGGCCAGATACATTCTGGAAAGTACTACTGCCATCACCCGAGTACAACGTACGGTCATTATTGTTGTATTTAGACTGAAAGATACCCCTAAAATACAGCTATAATGACTGTACAATGCGTTCATTGCATACTTGCGGCGCCCTGATGCGGTGCGCTGAGCGGGGCGGTGCGCTGTGCGCCGTGCGCAACATGTCCCAGAGCGCGCACTGTGTGCTCGGTCCGCTGGGCTTCGGGGCCTGCGCGCTCAGTGCGCCGATTGCAAAAAGGCCGTGCATTTATGCTGCACAGGTGTGGCCTGTGTGTTGGTTTATCCTGCACAGGTCCTGCTAGTACTTGAAGTTTCTTCCCGTTTCTGTTTTCTTTTTTTTGTAATTGGACGGGTTGAAGGGGGGATGTAACTCTCACATGCATTCGGACTGCGAAGGCGCAGCAGTCACAGCATCCAATATATCCATGCAATCGAGCGGTAACATGGCATCACAAAAAAACACAGAAAACAATCAGTGATGCAGCGCACACAGCAAAGAACGAGGAACACAACAGAAAAAATGACAAAAACTGATATCAAGAGTTCAAAATTCAATTTGTTCAGTCAGTCAACGAAAAGAGAACAACGGGTGCACCCTACACCACCTTTTCCCATTCTTCCTCCCCGCTCTCCTCCTGATGTGACACACCCTCACCTACTTCTTCCTTGTCACCCTCCTCCATTCCCTTCCCCCCACTGGACTCCAATGAGGTACTTGGGCTGGAAGAAGTCGATGCTGAGCCTTCGGGCTCTTCGTCTCCCCGGATGTCTTCCGGGATATCATCATCATCGTCATTTATGACGGCAACTCTCTTCGTCTTGCCTGCGGCAGAATTCCTTGCAGTGGCTTTCGCTGCTGCTTTGGCTTTGTCTGCATTGCCAACAGCTTTGACCGCAGCAGCTGCTGCCTTGGCAGCCTTCTCTACGGCCTTTCGTCCCCTGCGTTCTGCCTGTTCCGCCAATGTCGTACGGCCTCTCTTCGGTCGTGGCTGTTGTTGCTCAACAGCCTTCCTTTTGCCTCGCTGCACGGTCGCGTTGCCATCATCCTTCTCTTTGCCCTTGTTTTTGGGCCTCCTCCGTGGTGCCTCCTCCCGACCATCCATCCACGCCCGCTTGTCGAGCTGCCATCACCAGAGCGTAGCCCTCTTCCGTGTACAACTCTGGAGGCACGGGTAGCTCGCTGCCTGATCGCCTACACAACTCCCGCTCGTGGTATTTCCCTGGCCTCATGCACTGGTGCCAATCACGCTGCCGCGTACTGACGAGAACAGAGTCCTCCTCCTGACACAGCCTCTCGTCAACCGCATCGTTGCGCTGGAAGGTGCGCCACAGTGGAAAGTCATCTTCCTCATCATCGACATTCACCACGACAACCTCTCCCTTGTCCACGTCTCCATGGACACGCGTCAGCCAATCAACGTACCACTCCTTTGTCTCCTTTTCCATTGGGACGTCATCCGCCCATGGGATGTGGATATCATCCCCCCCGCCGTGCTGGTTACACCTCAAAAGGCGGACATTCCAGCTGTTGTACACGAGCTTGACCATCCTCTCCGGCATGAGCTTTGTGTGCCTCCTGCCGTAGATGAGCTCATGCAAGCTGCTCCAGTTCCGCTCGCAAGCGGCAGAAGAGCTTGCCTGGCCAAGCAATTTGATGGCTTGAGGTGCGAGGAGGTCGTGTTTGAAGCCGAACGCCTCCCACTACAAAGCTGTTGGCTGTTGGCTGGCCTGGCCGCACGCCTGCTCCATGGAGAACCCTCCCAAACCATTCACCAACTGGTCAACCTAGAAGCTCACTTCCTTGAGCTTATCTCGTAGCATCCAGGAGTACAACCAGATGTCCAACCTTGCACGGACCTCCAGGTCGCGTTGCGCGTTGTGCATTCGGTGCTCACTGGTCCAGGATCCAGGAAGGCTGCAGCACAATGCAGCTCGCTGGTCATGAACGACCAGCGGTCCATGAGGATGCGCTTCACTGCCTCGTGCTCCTCACTTGAAAGGCAGTCGAGGGCACGCATGCGTTGAACAACCAGATCCATTTTGAAGTACACCTTCGAAATGGTCGATTCTTGCCCATCCACATACCGAAGCAACTCCACCACAGACTGCATCACATCGAGCGCCTTGTTTAGGTTGCTCCAAAACTCGCCCTTGTCGATAATGATAGTCGTCACCTCGTGGAATGCCACCAATTGGTCTGCCCGTACCATCTTGTCCACCCATCTCGCATCGTAGACGCATCGATCCAGCGCGTTTTTGAGGTCCTTCAAAGACCCAAGCATCTCGAAGTTGGTGGCAAATCTGGTTGTCGTCGGGCGCTTCAACTTCGTCTTCGATGAGTAGTTGTTGAACACAGCCCTCAGCCTTGTTGTCCACATTCATGAAGAACTTGCAGACCTTGTTTCCAGAATCAACCACCTCCTCCATCCAAGGCATTTCCTTGTACATGTCCTCCAACGCAAGGTCGAGCGCATGTGCAGTACATCCGACGCGAAATATGTTAGGATAGGCGGCCTCCACCATCTTCCCAGCCTTGACGCACACCCTTACGTTGTCCATGACAACGCCGACGACTGCATCCGCTTCAATCTCTTTGGATATCCCCATCCAAGACACGAAAGTAAGCTTCAACGTCCTTGTCCTTGCCTTCCATGCACACAGACTTCCAGAAGACCATACCGACTGGTGAGGACACCATGACATTCAGATGGGGCTTGTCCCGGCGGTTGGACCACCCGTCCATCTGCAACATACACCCGGACTTCTTCCACTTCTGGATCAGGGAACGCACTTTCGCCCGTACTCGCTCATAGTCAGCATCCAAGCGTTTTGTCCTTTGTTCATCCCTTTTGCACGGCATCTACATCGGATGGGCCTTCTTCACTGCATCGATGAACTCCAAGAAGTATTCATCCTCCACCAAACTGAACGCCTGGTTCGTGCAGGTCAGAAACCTGTCAATAAACCGACTCATCCGCTCATTTTGAGTGACGACATTGTCAGCCTCCTCGATCACTGTCCGCCGCAAAGGTCCCCTTGGAACTACCTTGGAAGACTTCGGTCCAAGAATTGTGCCTGCGGTCAACTGAGGCGTGGTGTTTCGGCAGTGATGCCCTCTGCACCCACCTGTGAGCTAGGAAACTCAGGGACCTCACCAGCGGCAGTCTGCGAATTTCTGGGACCGGACCCTCCGACCTCTCCGTACATCAACACGCGAGCAGGCCACTTCCCTTGCCTTATCCCCTCTTCTCTCGTCGCCCTCTCCTCCACTGTCAATTTTGAAATGCAAAAGTCAAGGCTGCACTTGTCGAGGAAGTGATCCCTGAGCTTCGTCGCAGTCCGTTAAAACAATGCTCACAGTACTTGCACCTCCAGTGCTTTGATCTCTTGAATGCAAACTTACCCACTGCGGTCTCTCTGTGATGAAGTGGAGGTTAATCTGGTCTATAAGATGCTTGGATGGCATCTCTTTTTGCATGACAGGGACAACACACACCGCAAACAGGGATCTCAGCCCCTATAAAGACAACGAAAAACTTCTCGAAAATACATATACAACGACAACTCTCAAAAAAAAATTCAGAAGACACGTGGGCGAAGGTGAATGGAGGAGAAGGAAGAAGAAGAAGAGGAGGAGTAGGAGAAGGGAGGAGGAAGAAGAAGAAGAGGTGGAGGAGGAGAAGGAAGAACAAGAGCAGGAGGAGGAGGAGGAGGAGGCGGAGGAGGAGGAGGATCCGCACCCGCAAACACAAAAAAAAAGTCACGTTAGAGGAAGAGGAGGAGAGGAGGAGGAGGAGGATACAGCAGAAGATGATGAGGAGGAGGACGAGGAGGAGGAGGAGGAAGAAGAAGAAGACGAGGAGGAGGGGGAGGAAGAGGAGGAGGAGGAGACAGAGGAGAAAGGTATGGCGGAGAACGAGGAAGATATGCCAGAAGATGTGGAGGGCAAGGAGGAGTAGAAGTAGCCGCACCGGCAAACAAAAAAAAAAAGTCGTGCTACATGGCACATTCACGTTAGAGGAAGAGGCGGAGAGGAGGAAGAGGAGGATACAGCAAAAGATGATGATGAGGAGGAGGATACGGCAGAAGATGAGGAGGAGGAGGAGGAGGAAGAAGAAGAAGAGGAGGAAGAAGAAGAAGAGGAGTAGGAAGGGGAGGAAGAGGAGGAGAGGGGAAGGAGGAAGATATGGCAGAAGCTATGGAGGAGGAGGAAAGGGGAGAAGAAGAAGAGGAGGAGAAGGAAGAAGAAGAGCAGGAGGCGGAGGAGGCGGAGGAGGCGGAGGAGGAGAAGGAGGAGGAGAAGAACTACCCAGACAAAAAAAAAAAAGAAAAAAAAAAGGTGTGCCACGCGGCACATCAACGTTAGAGTAGGATGAGGAGGAGGAGGAGGAGGAGGAGGAGGAGAAGTAGCCGCGCTGGAAAACAAAAACAAAGAAAAAAAACGTATACGGCAAAAGAGGAGGAGGAGGAGGAGGAGGAGAAGGAGGAGGAGGAAGATACGGCAAAAGAGGAGGAGGAGGAGAACTACCCGGAAAAAAAAAAAAAAAAAAACGCGTGCCACGTGGCACGTTAACGTTAGATGAGGATGAAGAGGAGGAGGAGGAGGAGGAGGAGAAGGAGGAGGAGGAAGATACGGCAAAAGAGGAGGAGGAGGAGAACTACCCGGAAAAAAAAAAAAAAAAACCTCGTGCCACGTGGCACGTTAACGTTAGATGAGGATGAAGAGGAGGAGGAGGAGGAAGAAGATGAAGACGAAGGGGAGGAAGAGGAGGAGGAGGGTGAGGACAAAGGTACGGTGGAGGAGGAGACACGGCAGAAGATGTGGAGGGCGAGGAGGAGGAGGAGGATAAAGGTGTGGCGGAGGAGTAGGAGCAGGATAAAGTGCGGCGTATAGGAGGAGGAAGATATGGAGGAAGCAGATGAGGAGGAAGAGGAGGAAGAGGAGGAGGAGAAGGAAGAAGAGGAGGAGGAGGAGGAGGAGGAGGAGGAGGAGGAGGAGGAGGAGATGTCGCTGCTTAGGCAAAAACAAAAGTGCCACGTGGCACGTTCACATTAGAGGAGGAGGAGAAAGGAAGAGGAGGAGAAGGAGGAGGAGGACGATATAAGGGGGGACGTGGAGGACAATGAAGATATGGAGGGAGAGAGAGAGAGAGAGAGAGAGAGAGAGAGAGAGAGAGAGAGAGAGAGAGAGAGAGAGATGATGGTGCCCACCGTCATGGTTACCCGCTGCTCTCCTGCCGCTGCCTTCGAAGGCTGTCTCCTCCCGCTGCCTCCTGCCCTAGCTTTCTCGACCCTCCCTCCTCCGTCCTCCCTCCTCTTTCCTCCCTCTTCCCTCATCGTCGCCGTCCTCTCTGGTCCTTCCTTCCTCCTTAGTCGACCCTCGTCTCCCTTCCAACGACGTCCCTCCTCCGTCCTTCGTTCTCCCTGTCGACGTTTGTAGTCGTCTTCCCTTGTCGTCGTCCTCCTTCCTTCCCGGAAAAAGTGGCCCTCCTCCCTCCTTTGTTGCCCTCCTCGTCATTTGTCGTCGTCGTTCGTCGTCGTCGCAGTCGTCCATCCACCGACAGGGCCCCTAGCTGCACACAAACATGGCCGCGTCAAGTGCGAAACCGGCCCCGCCCCTGCCCCAATATTTGTTTTGGGGGGAAAGGCCCGCACAGTTCGAATTCGAATTCTGCAGACATTTCCCCCCAAAAAAACGTTTGGGGCCAGGGGGGGGGCGGTTTCGCACTTGGCGCGGCCTCGTTTCCATTTTTGCCTGGCAGAGGGGGGCATGGAACTCTACTACCCCAGTTTTTTTTTTTTTTGGGAGGGGGGGGGCTAATTATTTCAGTATGCCGCATCGGGTGCTCGGCGCCATGCGGTGCATGATGTGTGCGACTCGTGCGCGGAGGCGCACACCTCGATGCACCGCAACTATGGTGCATTGTATTCGGGTGAAGAAGGTAGTGTGGGTATGCTCTCAGTGAGGGTCTTCCCCAACATCATTGATCTTGATTTAGTTCTTCTTTTTTTTTTCCGCTTTTATTTTCCATGCCATGTGCTGGCACGAGGCTCAGCACTTCAGTTTCGAGGTAGGCTGGTACTGGTACCTCCCTCAAAGAAAACGACAACGTGCACTGTAGATTGCAGGCTCAGCATAAAACATTCAGGGTCCAATGGACTGATGATTTAAGGTCCTTGAAAGTTCTCAGCAATTCGCTACACTGCCATCTGCATCAACCTGAGGCTGATCCTAGCCAGTCAAACCTAAACCCCTAAACCCTAAATAACGTCACGAAAGCTCTCATCCATTTGCTACGCTGCTGTTTGCATCGTCCTCCAGCTGATCCTAAATTCTAAAATGTAAACCCTAACCCGTACACCCAAACACAAAACCGTAAACTCAAACCACTGAACTGTAAAACCTAAACCCCAAACTGCCGACCATAAAGCCGAAACTGTAAGACCTGACCACTGAACTGCAAAACCTCAACCCCAAACTGCAGACCATAAAACCCTAAACCCTAAACCCTAAACCCTTCAACCACCAGTACCTCCTGAAAGTGCTCCGCGTTAACGGGCGTGTGCAATCAGACTCGCTTTCATTCACACTTTACATGCATGCAAACAGTAGCGCAGCAAACTGGCGACATGCGCCCACACAGTACTCAGAGATATGGCAACCCAGATTCGAGTTCACTTCCAATGGCTATGGCGATATAGCGCCCATTCAACTCTCCGTTCGCATACAGTGGATCACCCTGGATATCCCACACGTGTCTCTCTGAACACTCACACACACACACACTGAACACTAACTACAGCTATGGCGGCTATGGCCGCCTCTACCCTATCGCTATGGCTAAGCTCCGTCTCTCTGCCCACTTCGTCTTCGGGCGTCACTGCAGACCTCCTTGCACAAGTCGCTGTGGCAGTGCTTCCGCATGGCTCACGCAGGAATGAATGAATGACTGGGCGCT